GGGTTCATGTTTGTGAAGGAAGTGAAGGATATAGAAGAAAAAGTAATTTGTTTGAGCTACATTCACGGCGTTTCGGTTTTTTCTTACAACTACTCATGCGATCGGGGCTTGTCATACCCAGTCATTGCATCTACTTGTTTAACGACTGATTTTGAAGCTTCAAGAGAATATTTTGTTCGACAACATGTACAGAGCCTAGGAGATTATCGAAATATGCATCACGTCTTGTCAGAATATCTGCCAGTGTTCAGCATACCTATTAGTGTTAAGTGTTTCTCCACGGGCAGGGGCTCACGTGCGGCGGTAACTGGATCCGCCGTTGAAACACGCCAGCGTAGAGACAGTGGTCTACTCCGTACGGAGTATCTCATCACAAGAAACCACAGTTGCTCTACATTTGGTTTCCATAGAGTTCGAGGCTTCAATGTGCCGTCGATGATTTAAGTTCAGGCAATCCCATTATCCTGGACCTGCACCTTGACTTCAGTCGCCCGTACCGTCGAGCTTAATTAATACTTCCATCCTCTCCCTCCGAATCGCTTCCGACCCCGCCACCGTGCAATTTGGACCTTCCTTCGCGGCTCGTCTAGCTTCTGCGCATATTCGTCCGGCGAATCAAACCACAGAATAATGACCTCCTATTTCTCTTCGATTACCTCGTCGTCAGCGATCTCCAACATCAGCACGCGACTCAACTCCCTCCGCCGTGCCATCACTTCCGGAGACGAGGCCGACGACCCAGAAAACGAAGACTGCTCTCACATCTCCAATGTTCTGCGTGCCTACTACACAGAGAAAGGCCGGCCCTTTCCATCATGGCTACCACCGGACCCTAAAGCTCCAGCACCCGCACCTTCCCGAACCATCGCAACCACTCAGATCCAGCCAGGCGCCTACGGACACGGTTCAGCGGTCACAACCTCAGCCCCGGGACGCGGTGGCGGGCTGAGCGATCTATGGGGAGACTCTGGAGCTTCTCAACAACCACCAGCATCACAAACGGCCAGTCTGCGACGAGGACGTCTGGCACCTGGGAGCGCAGGCGCCCCGCTGTCGACGGTGCACAGCGCCCCCTCTGGCTCAGTGGTTACACCTCCCTCGGGATCACCCACACCGCCGACTGCGCATCCGTCCGGGGCACGACCTCTCCCCAGTCAGCGTGCGGGATCATATCAGACAATTGCATCCGGCCAGGCCTCTCTTGAGCGGGCTGCGTCTGCGCAGGAGAGACTCCGAGCGCGCTTGCATGGAGGGCAGTCGCCTAGCCCGGCCCAGACTCCTCCGGGCGGCAGTCGGCCGGGGTCACCGTATTACGGGGGAGGTGCAGATCCGAGTGTGCGAAAGCCGGTTGGGATGCCGGGACGGCGGTAAGAGGGAGGGGAATTGGGGGTGCTACCCTCAACGGCCACTGAATGAAGTTCTTATGTCTTGATATTATTACTAATTTTGAGTCCACACCCGAGACGGACATCGCTGGATGGTGTCTGTCTAAGCTCTGGATCGTGAAGAAGTCTGTACACAGCGTTAGGCCATTTTGCTTGTTTCTGTAATTATCTTTTCACATCATCAAATAATACTTCTATTTCGAGTCTATTTACTACTATTTCCTGTCTTATTGTGAAAGCTTTGAAGGGTCATAGACTGCTCAGTATTCCGTACCTGTACTGTCAGGAGTGCCTGGTAGGCACGTGACCTTAGCGAGTCCCCCACGGGTTGAATTGTTCCTTGGTTGTTCCTCTCATGGTCTGACCTTCTGGGACACCACACTAAGCCTTTCGGCACGGAATCTTGAACCCACCACAGCGAATGAAACTCTCGGGTGCGTTTCGAGGGCAAGTGCAGCCTTTCTTGGCTGATGCGTCTCGGGTTGTGTCCGTCTTGGTGGCGTTCAGCGAGCAATCAGCATCCCAGTAGGGCCGGTACTTGACCGGATGATTGATGCAGCAATTGGACACTTTCGGGATCGACGAGCATTAAATGCCTCATTCGCATTAGCTAACTGGCAACTCTCGGAGTTTAGACCACGGACAGCTGATGCAACTGGATAGAATTCCACCGAAGTGTCGCCGACATTTCGTGATGGCTTCGTGGTGCAGTGCACGAGTGGGAGGTCAAGATTTGGCTCTGACTGGCTATTGTGTGCCAGGGGTTGCACTACATGAATCGAATTTTCTAGTCGCGTACTGAGTCGTCCACAGTCCACTTCTTTTTCTCCAGATCTCCACACCAACCGACTCTTTGCCTCCACGGGGATTCGTCTCGTTCCCCAACCTTCGCTGCTTCAAGCCTCCGCATTCTTTGCACTATTGTCAAAGTATGTAGATGGCACTCATTGAGTTCATCGAGTTGAGTTTATCCCTGCTAGGTGAAAATGACCGATAGGAGGGGGAAGACTGACCCAAATTGCCTCGAGGATGAGCACCACACCACCACGTCAATTGGTCATTGGCCGTGATCGTGATCATCATTCCTTAAGCTTCGGCCATTCCCCCCACTGTGCCAGAAATGCTGGCTTGCTGCTGTAAGCCTGTAGAGTTCGGAGTAACCTGTTCCATCGGTTACGCTGCCTTTTTTTTTCTCTGGTTTTCTGTCTGTCCCCACTTCCCCGTTAAAGTCTTGTCCCGCTTGTTTCCTGCCCTAAACCCGTGATGACCGTCCCTCCGCGGCCCAGGACTGTACCCCGGGATGCCGTGCCCGTATAAATAACCCCCGGGTTTCTTCTTCCCCTTTCCCTTGTTTTAATCATTCTTCTCTCCGACGTCCTTTCTACAGGCGGTTGTCCTCTTCCTATCTAGAAGACTGTGTCTTTGTAGGGAACGGCAGGTCCTCCCCTCTTCTCTTTCCACTTTAGGTAAAGCCTTCCATAGGTGAAGGTCTTCTGTACACTACCTACCTCTGGCTACCTCTCAATACACTACCTCCTTTATAATCATTCTCCTTCGCCCGTCATGGCTGTCAAAGATGTCGAGGTTCCTCTCGACGACCACAAGGAGGTCGCCGAAGAGATGGATGATATCCGAAATGACCCCAAATCCGAGGCTTTCAACGAAGCTGCCATGGATGCTGAGCTCCAGCAGCTGGAAGTACAGCTCGGCAGCATAAAACAGTCTCGGTTTGAGCTCACTTTCGCCAACCCCGCTTACTTCACTTACGTCCTGGTTGCCTTTGCATCTATGGGTGGTCTACTCTCTGGTCTGGATCAGTCGTTGATCAGCGGTGCGAACCTCACCATGCCCAAGGCTTTGCATCTGTCCGCCTCGCAAGCTAGTTTGGTCAACGCCGGTATGCCCCTCGGTGCCGTCGGCGGTGCCCTGATCCTTGGTCCTTGCAACGAGTACCTTGGTCGGCGCATGGCCATCATTGTCTCCTGCATCCTTTACACTATCGGAGCTGGACTCGAAGCCGGCGCCATCAACTTTGGCATGATGTTCGGCGGCCGATTCGTTCTTGGCATGGGTGTCGGTCTTGAGGGTGGTACTGTCCCTGTCTACGTCGCCGAGTCTGGTATGCTTCCTCTCGCTTCAATCTTTGGCGAGCACGGTTACTGACTGATATCTAGTCCCCGGTAAGATCCGTGGTAACCTGGTATCTTTGTATCAGTTGAACATTGCTTTGGGTGAAGTCCTCGGCTATGCGGTTGCCGCGATGTTCTTTGGTGTCGCCGGCGACTGGCGCTACATTCTCGGCTCTTCCCTGGTCTTCTCGACCATCCTTCTGGTTGGCATGCTGTTCATGCCTGAGAGTCCCCGTTACCTGATGCACAAGGGAAGACCGGTCGAGGCGTATGGTGTGTGGAAGCGCATTCGTGGCTTTGACGCTTACGAGTCAAAGGAGGAATTCCTGGGCATGCGCCAAGCTGTCGCCGCGGAGAACGAGGAACAAGCCAGCACGAAGAAGTGGGCTTGGCTGGACTTCTTCACCAACAGCCGGGCTCGTCGCGCCATGATCTACGCCAACATCATGGTATTCCTCGGTCAATTCACAGGTGTGAACGCAGTTATGTACTACATGGGTGTTCTGATGACGAAGATCGGCTTCGACGACCGTACCAGTGTCTATATGTCGCTCGTTGGAGGTGGAGCCCTGTTGATCGGTACTATTCCCGCAGTGCTGTACATGGAGCGGTTCGGCCGACGCTACTGGGCCAACGTTATGCTTCCTGGTTTCTTCATCGGTCTTGTGCTCGTGGGAGCTGGCTACACCGTCGACTACAAGACCTATCCCGCCACGGCTGAAGGTCTCTATTTGACCGGTATCATCCTTTACATGGGCTTCTTCGGCTCCTATGCCTGCTTGACCTGGGTCATTCCCGCCGAGGTCTTCCCCACTTATCTCCGTAGTTACGGCATGACCACTGCGGACGCCAACCTCTTCCTGTGCTCCTTCATCGTCACCTACAACTTCACCGCGATGATGAACTCGATGACTCGTATCGGTCTCACGCTCGGTTTCTACGGAGGTATCGCCGTCCTGGGTTGGTTCTACCAGATCCTCTTCATGCCCGAGACCAAGAACAAGTCCCTCGAGGAGATTGACGAGCTTTTCTCCAAGCCTACCTCGGTTATTGTCAAGCAGAACATCAAGAGCACCGTCGAGATCATGCGCGACCTGTCTCACTTGCGCTTCAGAAAGGTCTTCAGCCCTAGTCCTAGGCTGTAGATGACCGTGGTCTATGTGCGTATACAGTGTTATATTGTTATGCCTGCATTATGCATGTTATGAGGTTTAGATGATGATGATCATGGATATGTATCCAAATTGTATATCTATACATTAGCTTACGTCAAGCTATTAGGAATCAAATAAACATTCTGAACATCACTACCTGGTTAGCCCTCTCCTTGGTGAATCTCTTATTGTTCGGAGGTATGAAATGAATGTGAGTTGGGATCGTGAGATAAAGACAGATGCGGAATCACTAGAGTCAGATTTTGAGATAGAGTTATCCATTCAAGTACCTCTGGTATACATCGTCAATTCTACTATACAAGATATAATGTCTATACTCCCTTCCCACCATCATCCGCAACAACAGTCACCTCAACGTGCTTCCGAATCCCAGCCGACCCCTCCTGACTACTCCCACCCGTCTCCACCCCATCAAGACTATTCCGACTACCGAGTATACGATCAACACTCGCCCCATCATCGCCCCGGTTCCTGGTCGACAGCATCCCACGCAACCGCGAATCAGTCTTCCGATGCGAGGTCTTCTGCGCTGTGACTGACGTCGTCCCCGCCCGCGTCCCCGTAAACGCTGCAGCACCAAGCTCATACGAGCGAGACCGGTGTCCGCTACTCGTCATATAGTGGAACCCCGAGAGAATAAGCGAGCGGAGACAAGGCAGCGACGCGGTGATCATCACCAGGTTTGCTTCGATGTAGCCCCAGCGGAGGAGGTTGATCGTGCCGCCTAGGGCGTCGTTGTGGATCTCGGGGAGTTGGATGGTTTTGGCGAGGGCGGCGGCCATGGCACTTATCATCAACATTAGCACAGGGCCGGGCGGAAGGGAAGATGGAAGGGAGGGCTTACACAAGGCCACCGCTCATGAGGGCCACCAAACTGATTTTGATCCCGAGTTTGAGGTTGAGATGCCAGAAGATATAGGTCGGGACGACGGCTAGGTACAGATCGACGAAGATGTTGAATACTGAGGCAATCGCATCGTCAGTTCACTTCGCTGATGTTATGAATCGGCTATGGGACGTAGACGTACCACTCTGAAAATATCCAAAGTCGACCTGGATGGAGTCCGCCGCGCAGGTCCCCTCAGCCGCGTAATCCCAAAGCATGGACACAGGCGTGCAAGAGGCAAACATCAAGATGATGGACACGGAATTGAAAACCACCTCCATGACAGCCAGAGCCGTCAGGATGATGCGCTGCCATTTCTGCCCGCCCAGGATGGCTAGGAGGTATAGCACGAAGGCGGCGCGGCCGACGGCTGTGCAGAGGATCAGAAAGGCCAGTCCTATGATGTAGAATTTTCGACCCGTCGTCGCGCCAGGTTCGGGGACGGATTCGTCCGGTAGACCGTATCCGTATTTGACTGCGGTGGTGTTCAGGGACCCGGCGATGATACCTAGGATCTACGGATAGTGTTGGTACAGTCAGAATGGAAACTAGTCTTCTGTGTAATGTAGAGGACCGGAGGCAACATACCAGCGCAAAGATCATCACGACATCGTCTGTCCTGAATTGACGGATCTTCGTTTTGGCCAGGACGCGCAGAGAGACCACGATCACCGAGATGCCTGTCAGAACCCATATAAGGACTACCAGGCTCGTTCCATGCGGGTTTGAGGTATTCATTGTCATCTTTAATTGAGACTTGGATATGACACTGGCTACCCAACGTCACCTATCCAACACAGAAGAACTCTGCATTGTCACACATATAGAACAGAAAATAATACCGTCAAAGAAGAGAAAAGGAAAACGAACCAAAAGATGACCTCGTAGGTAATAATAAACTAGACAGACATCGCAGACCCCTGCCCAGCCCCACTGGAAAGGAAGAATTGAACAAACCACCCTATCGAGATGGATAGCCAGCTCATAAATACGAACTTATCTCACTCCACGAGCATTTCGTCTTATTGTTGCTGGCGAGGGCCCACTCAGACTCCTTCTGAATCCAGCAACCTAGTCGCCGGAGCAGCCCTAGAGCCCCGTGCGCATATTGGCTTCAGTACTCTCTGGTCTTAAAACAACCAACGAGGCAACGATAAAATTCAGACGGATGCTCTTGTCAGCTCCGAGCAATTCAATTCTAGCCTAGTGCACCCGGCATAGCCTGCTGTCACTATCAGTGTCATGCCAGATCCATACCATATAAGTACTAGTAGGCTGTAGGCTGTAAGCAACCTGTAAATACCACCGACTGCAGCTCGAATCCGGTGATACCATCACAGAATACCAGAGGGAGCTCATAAATCAGGGCATCGGCCAGTATCCGTCTCGTAACCGTTGCCACAACGGTCAGACCGCTCCCCGGCTCCGTAAGGCGTACTCCGTAGCTTCTAGACCGTAGCCCTAGTCCTAGTCTCCAGACTCCATACAGCTGAAATGGAATCGTGCTCGGTATTTACAGTGTGCTGCGCGTTATCCATTGACACGAGGTCATAGCCTCATCCCGTTAGCTATAGCGATACTCCGTACTGTTAGTACTTAGATGAAAAAATTGGACGACTGCCATGCTCGTAAACCTGAGAAAGGGACCGCTCGAATGTCAGTTGGCGAATCATATTGCGCGTCGCAAATAAAGTTGCAGCTACGATGGAATAAACTTCAGGAAAAATAAAAATTTCCGCTCCGCTGCAGGGTGGCATTATGTAAGAAACCTTGTTTTCGCTGGTAGACTTCACGCTAGGCTGCTTGCGGGTAGTGACTGGACCCTGGGTTTCTGGATTAAGTGCTAAGTAGCGAGTGCTGACGCCAGGTGGCGATTGTACGATTAGCTTCGACTTTCATTTTGTTCGATAGGATATGCTATTTTACATCTGTGCATAATGTTATGTAAATAATGGGATACACGCGGTGTACTGATATATGCCCATGACACTTGAACGTGCGCAATACATGGGCAGCACTACCAGCCAAATATTTCGGCCACACTCAATATGCTGAACCGTACGCCAGTCACAGAGAATAATATCAACACAATATCCACAACACCAAGAACAGCAGCCCCCATCATGAATCGAGGGCAGAAGATCCGGTAGAGCATGAGGTGGCGGCGCAGGTGGCCAGCCCACATCGTGGTTGCGAGGTTGATCGTTGCAAAGTAAAGAATATATGTCGCGGCCGCTTGCGCCACATCGGACAGAATCCTGGTGGCAGGCGTGCTAGATGTAGTGGACGAGCTGCTATCGTGCAGTTGGAGGGGTCGTTTCCACAACACCGTGAGAGGAACAGCAATTGCAGTGAGGATCTGCGCGCCGAACGTGTTGAGGATTACCAGAATTGGCGACCAAGGATATTGCACAGAAGACAAAGGGATGAACGCAGTTTCCCATTGGATACTGGTGAGGGTGGCCTGGTGTCCGGTCTTGAAGAAGTGGAACGACCCAAGAAGACCCAAGACTACAGGCCCGATGGCCGAGTTGCCCATGACAAGCTCATTCGTGTCAAGGATCTCAAGAAGAGAGAGGATCTGCCACAGCAGCAGGCCGATCGCCCCTTGACCCATCGGTTTCTGCATGAGAATGATGGCCAGGCAGAAATTAATGACGAGGAGGAAAGCTCGTGTGCCATAAACGTTCCCGAATCCCAAGATAGTCACCGTTTTTCTGGCCGGTTCCCTACCCTCGGATTCAGCGCCGCCTTGGCTGACACTTATGCTGACGCACGGTTTGGTGTAGACGAACGCGGTTGTTCCAGCGGCGAATGCAAGGGCTAGGACGACCTGAGCGAGGAATACACGTATGGTCTTCAGCGTCTCCTTGCTCAAAAGGCCCCATTCACCGTCGTCGGCAGCCTCGAGCGTCCAGAAAATGGAAGCGACAAAGAGGCCGAACCGGAACGCAAAGCCAATCCACAATGTCGCTGCTCCTTCATAGGATTTGGAACCTGCATAGAAAGACCGGACAACTGCCGGAAGGATGAGGGTCACGAGAAAGGGAATGACAAGTTGCCAGGGAGCAGACGTAGAGGATGTCGTGGAAGCATAATAAGTGGAGCGGCAGAATGGCATCTGCTCTTCGCGGCACAGGCGGGAGAAGGACGCAATTCTGCCCAGAATCACAAATAGGATTGAATGATAGACACCAAGCACGCGGTCCGCGGTTGACTTCTGCCGCATCGATGATGCACCCGCGACGACTCCAAAGGTGGAAAGGAAGAACAGGAGGATTTCATCCTCCCATATTGTGTACGAGTTCGAGGCAAAGCCTATCGATTGGGACACTGTGAAGAGAATTGCAAGCCATCCCCAAAGACTATTGGGGAGAGGCAACACGATGCGCCCAGGTTTACCGAAAATGACCCACGAAGCGCCAATGATGCTTCCTACGGCAGCCAGCAGAACAGAAGACTCGACTGCTCGAGCAGACAACATACGAGAGTAAGACAAGCAAGCTCCAGTCACAGCACCCAACATGGATCCCACCCCCACGGAGGAGAGCAGAGAGTGAGTGAGTTCTGTTCGGGCGGCTTTCATACCTCGTGCGTAGAAGACGAGAAGGACGATCGCTGCAGAAAGAATTCCGACGCCCTGCAACATGCTGGGTACATGAAACTTCGCCCATAGCCCACGGCAGATATGCAAGACGTGCCGCTGGTACTGGCGATGCAACTCAGAAGCCGAACGCGAAGCTGCCACATTCGATTTACCAGCTCTGGGGAGCTTCTGCCAGGCGCTCTCTGCGGCCTCCCAAAGCTCCTCTGATCCAAGTGACTGGGCTTCATCCGCACCGTGCGAGGATGTATACTCGTGCTGATACTGTCTGATTTGTGCAGAGGTCAGGCGGTTTACTGTGGCAAGATTTTTCCAACCGTTTCCCCCAACTCCGACAAAAGCCTCCTCGATCGGAGATCCAAGGTTATTGAATGGAATTGGCATCCCCAGAAGAAGTGACAGAGTGGGTACGAGGTCTATCTGGGGAATGAAGCGTTCCCGTGCAGTTCTTGGAGGATTAGCGGTCTCCGTACTTGTACGGCCAAAGATTGCCTTTTTGGAATACATCCAGAGAGCCGCCTCAACTTCGTCGTTGGATTCGCCCCCGTGGTCGCCCTTGGAGTCCATTCCGTGATCACCCATGACCACCAAAAGTGTCTTGTCATCTAGCTTGGCAATGATGTCTCGAACAACTTGATCCATCTCGCGGAGTTTTGCGGCCATAGCCGGGTGGTCTGGTCCGTATCGGTGCCCGGCATGATCGACGCCGAGATAATGACCGAAAATGACATCCCATTTCGTCGAGTTTTCAGGATGCAACAGCGGGAATAGATGATCGTTGACTCCATTGTCAACAGTGTGCAAGTCCCAAACATTGAAGGAATCAAAAGGGTGTGTCAGATCGGCGTCGAAGTAGCCCGGGAAAAGAGCATGCCAGGTATCGTCTCCAAGATGGACCAAGGTCTTCCCTGCCGCATGTAGCTGCGCAACGAGGTTATCTTCATCGATTGCCGTTCCGGCAAAGTTGGAGCCAGCATCCACAAATGTAGGTAGAGTGCCCGTTGTAAGTCCTTTGAGTCGTTGCAACGTCGTGGTCGGCGGATCCGCAATGAATGGAAGCAAAAAAGCATTTTCAGGAGACTTGACAGCCGTTTCGTACAAAACTGGTATGTTGTTATGAAACAGGTGCGTTGTTTCACTTTCCGATCCTGGTACGAAAGGTACCGTAAAGTCGTACCGCAATGCATCTATAATGATCACAATAGCCTTGTCAAATGACTTTTCATGCCAGCATCCTTGTTTTCCTTTACTCGCTGATGAAGACGAATCGTCAAAAGGAAGAACATCGCAAGCGGATTTATTTTCCAAGACCATCCGAGTGAGAAGGAAACCTTTCGTAAAAAAGAATATGCCAGCAACATGCAAAAGCCTAGGATCATTTTGACCAGTCAGCCCACGGCATCCAATAAAGACCAAAAGACCTCTGAGAAAAAAGGGGGAATGTGTACAGTATCCAACCGAAAACACCCAGTATTCCTAAATGTTTTATTGTGAAGGCGCGCTCAAATTCCTTCGCCTTGTCCACCTGCGCTTTAGGCGTCTTTCCCAGCCGCAGTTGCGGCCGTGTTGCTACGTCGCTGGGTTCGGAAACCCGCGGCGAAGATGTTCCAGGGGAAGAACCTGCCATAGGTCGCGGGCCTTTGGAGCTCGGACGATCGTAGCCAGCCCCGGAGGCTGTCGTTGAGGCCATGGTGTGCACACGAGTCAGAGTAGAATGGAAGCTGGTTCATCCAATGGCTAACGTTGCCGGTAGCTCTCGTCGTTGTGGGAGGGGGTGTTGTCGCGCAATATATTGACAGACGCCTGCAAGTGCTGGAGTAGGAAGCTCCGAGGCAATTGGATCACTCAAATGGACTTCATTGATATTGTAAGGACTGAATTCAGAAGCTGAGGAACAGAGGGAGATTTAAAGCCAAAGAGAAGGAAGGTATACCCTATAAGTCACTATCTGAGCTGTCAAGTGTGCTCTCCCATCGAAGCCGACTCAAAGCATGTTCATGGCTACAATGACAGCTCAAATACAACAAATTTTAGAACAAATGAAACCGCGGTAATGAGAGACGTGTTGCCAATTGATCTTGCCGATTATGAGCTTAGTAAAAGAGAAAAGAATGAGAGAGTTCAGATTGTCCGGACCCTC